AGGGAACCCACGATGGCAGAGGGTACTGGTCCTTGGCAAGACAGAAGGCCAGGACACCTATGTGGTTTTCACTGGAAAAAATGTGATGCTATCCAGGTCCATCAGAAGGATTGCAACAGACTGGAAAGCCCACCATGGGTACTATGTACACTTCAATGCGCCAACGTGGTGTTTCAAGACAGGGTTTGGAAGCAGAATCATCCCAACACGTCGAACAGTGGAGCCCTTACCAGCTTCCAATGCGGCCCCAATTGGCCCAGTGATGCCTTCTCCTCTCCATGACGCAGATGGTGAAGCAGTACGAGCCAAAGCTCAGGAGGAGAAGAGGGAAGAAGGTGAACAACACTTGATGGGAGTTGAAGATGAACGTTCAAGGAATGCAGGATCAACAGCAATGCCAGAAGTTGCAACCACCGCTACTTCAAACACTGTGCAAGCACCTCAGCATGTTCAAGTTGAAGTACAAGATGAAGAACTTGACATGAGTTTCCTTGATGATATGGTTCCCCAGGAAGACATGGGTGATGGCCAACAGGCACCAGTGACACCTCCAGTCACATCAGCGCTTGTTCCGCCGAGTCCGAGGGCATCTCCTTCCAGCAGAGCTCATGATGAAGCTCCAGATGAACATGAATCAAAGAAGGCCAGAGTTGAAGTCTCAAAGAAACAAAGAATCGAGCGTGTCAAGGAAGAACATGAGAAGATGGTACGTACGGTGAAGGTGGGAGAAGATGTCTACCACACCTTGGATGACTATGACACAGACTTCAACTGGAACCAACAAGTTGTGGAGGATGAAGAGATGTGGAAAGATGAGGACTCTTTGCAGTTCAGTGGAGTGCCAGAAGCTCTTTGGTCTGACGAGCCCACCAACAAGCAGCCAGGCAATCCAGAAGCTTGGGTGGATAGACTGGCAGACCAAGTTGAAATTGACAGACTGCTTTCAATGGGTGTTCTGATGAAGCGCGATGATTTCTCAGGTGAAACAACTGGAAATCTTACAACACGGTTTGTGTATGACTGGAGACTGAAAGCCTACAAGACTGAGGGCACCTCTGACGACACAACAGTGATGAGATGGATGAGACGCAGCAGATTTGTGGCAAGAGAATTTGCCAACACACGCAGGGACGACACTTACAGCCCTGCTACTGGAAGCCATACCAACCATCTGATACCCTTGGCCTATTTGAGCATGCTTGGGAAGGTGGAAAACAGTGGCTCCAGCGATGAGAAGTATCAGGTAGTTTTGTGCTCCCTGGACATCAAAGATGCGTTTCTTCAGGTGCCTCAGGAGAATGTAGTCGAAGTCATGTTGCATGATGTGAAGTATGTGGTTTTGAAAAACTTGCCAGGCCAGCGCCTTGGAGCAAAAGCTTGGTACTGGTATTTCCGACAGTATGCAACAGAAACGATGCAGTTTGAGTGGTGTCTCATTCAGCCATGCCTTGCGAGGAAGGGTATGAATGCCTTTATGCTGCATGTGGATGATCTTTTATTCACTGGAAACTTGGTGTTTTGGCGTGATGTTTTCTTACCAGCAATGCAACAGAAGTTCAGCATCAGTTTCAATGTGCTTGGATGTGAAGGCTCAGAAATTGCCTTTCTCAAGAGGCGACTGGTGAGGCTGAGCGATGGCATCATGGTCGTTCCAGGCACGACACTGGAAAAGGTGCTGAAATGCTTTGAAGGTTTGTTTGGAACGGTGCGTGTTCAGAAAACACCTTGTGAAGCTGGCATTCAACAGGAGGACCAATCTCAACAACTTGAACCACAGGATAGCAGCTCATACAGGAGCATGATAGGCCTACTTCTGTACCTCTCCAGAGATCGACTGGACATCATGTTCACAGTGAAGGAATTGTCAGCAGCAATGTCAAAACCAACACTTTGTGCGCTGCAACGGTTGAAACGTTTGATGGGGTATTTGAAGTTCAGCGGCAACATTGGCCTCAAGCTGAGTTTTCCAGAACCAGGGAAAGGCAAAAGAAAGGAGGGCTGTGAAATGGAGTGGCTCTTGGAAACGTATACAGACGCAGATTGGAGTTCCAACAAATCCCACAGGAAGTCTACCAGCTGCGCTTTGCATTTCCTCAACGGATGCTACGTCCATGGCTCTTCGAGGACTCAGAAAGTCATCAGCCTGTCCTCAGCTGAAAGTGAACTTCATGCAATGGTCAGTGGATGCTGTGATGGCCTTTTTATCAAAAGGTGTGCAGAGTTTGTCTTCTCAGCTCAGGTGCAACATTTCCAATGGACAGACAACAGTGCTGCAAGACAGTTAGCAGCCAGGCAAGGCGTTGGACGCATACGCCACTTGTCGTCGAAGATCCTATGGATCCAACAGGAGGTCCTTGCTGGAAATGTGATTGCGGGTCAGGTTCCTACGATCTTGAATCTGAGTGATGTGGGAACAAAGGTGCTCACCAAGAGCAGACTCTATGCGCTGATGTTTGAGGTGGGTGCTTTGGACCCTGAAACGCTGGAACAAGTCGGCCAGGAGGAGCATGCAACTATGGTTGAACAGATGCATCACCGCGAAGCCATGTCAAAGATGGGAAAATTCATCAAAAGGCTTGCTTTGGTGATGGGATTGCAGGGCCTTGAGTCAATGGTGGCCGAAGGTGCAATGATCCCAGATGATCAAGTTTGCAGGAGCCCGGAAGTTTCTTACAGCAGTTTTTGGATTTGGCTGGCATTTGGACTAATGCTTGCAACGTTTGCAGTGGTGACATTCAAGGGTTACTACATGCTGAAGAAGGTCTCCAATGATTTGCAGCATGCTTGGGCGCAAGTGGCAGATGAAGATCACTACATAGCCCAGCAAGCAGAACGCATTGACAAACTGGAGAAGCGTTGCGAAGCTTTGGAAAACCAATTTGGTCAACAGACAGCCATCCTGACTGATCAAATCACAGAGACTTCAAACGAGCTTTCAATGACACATGATTACATGACGGGCCTGCACTATTCACTGGTGGAACATGGTGGCTTCCTACGCAATGGGCTAGGGTTAAGCCACGACCAGTGGATTCATCTGACGACCCTCGAGCGTGCCAACATGATAAGTTCGAGGACAATGGGATCAGTGGAGTTCATGCGACTGGTCAGACAAAGAATGGCACCAGCTGAAACAGCAGACCAAACAGATGAAGCAACAGAAGATGGAACAGAAATGGAAGTGGAGCCAACAACCACTTCAAGGTTGGGTGACCGAGAACAATCTTTGGAAGAGATGTTGAATTTCATCAAGGCAGAACATCAAGGATGCATCGATCGCCAAGAGTACTGGGATGCAAACAACCTGCAGAATCTCATTTTGGAACTTTTGGAAGGGGTTCAGAACCAAGTCCCTATCCATTCCATGTATGGACGCTGCAGAGCGAGAATTGTGGAAGTTTTCTCAGATCTGGCAGATCGGGCAGTGGATCAACAACGATGGAACGATGCAGACCACTACACCGCAATTTCAAATGCATATGGTGATGGTTGAAAATTTCACTGGAAAGCTGTGAAGGATCAGCGATGAGTGCTGAGACTGCGCTGTGAAAAATGTCAGTGGAAAATCAAACCAGTTGTGAAGCGATCTTGGGGCTCACTCCACAAAGGAGGAGTGCCTAGGATTTCCATGCAGACTCAGTGCAAGGATGACACACACAAATCGAGATGATAGCAGTAACATTTTCACCTTTGCATACATGAAATACTCATGTGTGAATTGTGAGGCCTTGCGGCTCAGGAAAAACGCGTGCCCGCTTGCATGTTTGGTTGTATGTTGTTGTTCCAGCAGTGTCCTATTTGTTTGGGTTGGAGGTCAGACATCTAGAGCCAACAAAATTTTGCATCTGCGAAAACATGTGTGTTTCTTACTGTAAACATCCCTCCCTGACCCAGTATGACGGAATTACATCCTGTTGTTTTTTGTTGTGCATGTGTGTGTGTGTGTTCCACTGTATGCTGTGTTGTCCCATCTTTTTGAACATCATAGTGGCCCCCTCGGGTAGGTGAAATAAAGGTGTTTGTTCAATACTCTACAGCAATTTGTTGTTCCTGCGATGGACTCAAAATTGAAGAACAAACATGAACAGAGGCAAATAAATTTGAGATGCCATGATGCCTGCTTTATCTTTGATAACTTATGATAACTCATGCTATAGTTCATGATTTCTCATGGGTTTAGTCTTGCAGGTTCCCGACTATCTATTTGGCTTTCCTTCAAGCTCTCAATTGTATACTGTTTTCTGGACTTTGTTTGGGTGATTGTTGCTGAAACTTGTGAATGTCATCTTCGATTGGTTCAAAATTGGTGCAGGCCTGCAATATCCAGATGTAGTCTCGTGAATTGTCGTATATAGAACATTATAGAACTATGTAAAAAAATGTTCAACTTTGATATTTTATTCCTTAGGACGTCGGTCAAGACTGACCCACCACTTTTTGGCAACATAATTTTGCCCGCAACTGGATAAACTTATACTTTCCGATAAACTCCGGCAAATCACTAGATTCCGACAAAAGTAGGACCTAATTTTACGAATGTAGCCTCCAGGAGCCAACATTCCAATGTTGGCTTCTCAGGCGAACATTGGAATGTATGCAAATATAACCACCATGGATTGTTTGGGATAAATAAGGTTCAGAAAATTTTATTAATGATATATCCGATATCCGCATGTATATATATATATATATCTATCAATCAATATTAATCAATCAATCAATCAATCAATCAATCAAATTCTAGTCTATATCTTATATATTTAGTCAGGGACCGACTGCACAGCGAAAAAATCGAGATGCCATGGATGCTGCCAACCACGCTCAGGCCCATGTCGGTCCATGTCCGGCCCGAGCCATGAGGACCGTGAGGACCGGAGCTGGTGCGGAAGGGGCGCCAGGGCAATGGCCATGAGTTTTTGATGCCCGGATGGGGGTGGCTATCTTCAAGGTATTTCAAGGTCGGAAAGCCATGGAAACACCTGAGGAGTCGGTTTAAGTCTTCACCATTCAAAACCTGAACCATTTTGGCCCAAATTTACAATTCAGGTCCATAAGTTTGTAGCTGAACCGATCTTATTCGCAATATGAGGCTGACCAACGTTTGTGCCATGTTCCTTTGGTGCCTCTTTGGTGTCAATGCGGTGCCATCGGGCTGTGGGCATTGCATGGAGCAGGAGGAGAACGGGCTCGTGCAGTTGGTGAACCTCCAGCCGAACGTGCAGTCGTCCCACTACCATCCCCGCCGCGCTCGGAGATTCCGCCGCTTCCGCCGCTACGGTGCGAAAACCACCAGCACCACCAGCACCACAAGCACCAGCAGCAGCAGCAGCGGCAGCAGCAGCAGCACCACCACCACCACCAGGGTGGTGTGTGGAGAAATTCCTCTCATTCAAAATGAAATTGTGTTGAGCACGCCCCAAAATTTCGTCGTAATCAGTCCAGCTCCAGACGCACTCGCCGGAAAGGATGAATGCCAATGTGTAGGCGGCATTTTCAGCGGTTTCCCAAGTGGCTCCTTGAGTGTGGTGCTGACACTCACTGCGAATTTTACCGCTGCTGCTTATACAATATCCATCACCAGTATAGATGGCACCACAGAAGTCACAGTGCCAGCAGTTCAAAGCGGAAATCAACTCTTTGCAGAGACCCTGGCATTCAACGGGTTCATTGCGCTTGGCGGCTGGGATATCAAGCTGCTCGATGCTAGCGGCAACCCTTCCATCCAAAACATTTCCAGAGGGAAGCTCGAGTTTGGACTTCAAGCATGCAACTGAGCTCTCGAGGCTGTTGGGAAAAACAGGATTGTGTGTTTTTCAGTTGTTTCTTTGCTCTTGAAGAGGTGGATCAAGCAGAGCTGTTTGGAAAACCACAGCTCCAATTCCATCATCTTGGCTATCATAAGAATACACAAGATAGGATATACCAGTAGTACCGCACAAGGCGGTGGCGGAAGTTTCAAAAATAGGAAACCTATAGGAGAGGTTGGTTGTTGATCATCTGTGTGTCGTTCGGTGTCAGGAGGCGATCGCCTCAAGGCTGCCAGGCTCCGGGCTTGGCTTCGTCCCGCCCATTTTGCGACGTGTTGACATCAATTCACCACAGAACAGAAGTGGATTTCGGAAAGTGTTGTGCTTTGGATCTTTTCGTTCTGGCAGAACTCTGTATAGCATCCAGAAATCCCAGTCTTTTTTTCAGGGATAGGTTTTGACCCATACCCAGTTGTGTTGGGTTCTTTGATCGGATACCGGAGCGTACGATACTTCTGGGTTGTCACAACTACAGGAGCAACACGAGCAAGAACAAAAACAAATACAACAAACGAACATAGTCAGGAAAACATCCATGATGCGGGTTTCAACCGCATTTATTTCAGATTGTGGAAGGCGTGTCTGGTGAGTTGAGTGCACACTTTGCATCAAAAAAGTATCATCTTTCCGCATTTGTTGCATCACTCCATCAGCCATCCAGCCGAAGATTGAGTTTTGGAATGATCTCACGGTCATTGGTGAAGGGTACCTAGCAACTCTACAAGATTAGCGTGTGTGACCTATACTGCAATCATTGGGAATTTCCCAAGGGGTGTCATCCAGTTGATGATACTTTGGCAAGTCTAGACTGGTGGTATTGCTCAAACAAATGTTTTGCCCGAATTTTGTTTGCTACAGGTGGATTCCATCCAAATTGTTGAATATCGGCTGGAGTCTTGTCCATTCCGGCAGGAATGATCATGTGCTCGTTGTTGAGCACAACTATGGCGGGCAAGGCGTCCAGCAAAGCGCGGTCCACTTGGTCCAAGTGGGATTGGGTCAAACTTTCCGTCTTCCAAAAGTTAAAGAAACTCAGGATGATAGGATGGTTGATCTGAAATTTGATGAAATTAGGATGTTTACACAACCGATGTCCCAACAGATCTGTGTTTTTTCCACAGCTCTAAACCTGACCCACTCACCCCGTGAGGTACTCACAACGTTCTGAACAAAGCTGACGGGTTTGTACAGTCGGAACATGGGAAAAAATGCGCCGCCGTTTTTGTATTTTAACTTGCTCTGTGGAATGACAATCAGCACGGTTTTGCAGCAGGAAAACATGTTGTTCAGACAGAATGTGTGTAGTTTTACTCCTATCAACGGGTTTGAAGAGATCCAGTGATTTTGATATGCTGTGATGCTGTGTTACATTCGTGAACCTTAACTTACGTTTGGTGCTGTAGGTTTGAAACGCATTGATTCGACGATTGGTTTCCCCGACTTTGCCCGCATTGGGGACTCTGTTGAGAGTGGACGCGCCGTTGCCTGTGGCTCTGCTATTGCCAGTACGAATGAATGATGAAGGCGCACCGCGATTTGTGTCAGCTGTGCCTGTGTCATGCCCGTGGCAGCGAACCAAAGATCATGGAGTCTTTTGTGGATCATGGGCATCTGCCAAGGTTAATAGGAATGATAAACTATGATTATATATTATCTGGTTGGTGGTTTATGGGATGTCATCCTTCCCATTGACGAACTCATATTTTTCAAGATGGTTAAAACATGCTAAAACCACCAACCAGTTATGTTGTGATTTTTTTTCACTACGGAACCATGTCCAACCGCAATCGGTGGAAGCCGACCAGGTCATGTTTTCCGTCCGAAACCAGGAAAATTTACACCGTGTGGACGCTTCAGATCCGCCATTCACATTGAATGCCTTTGACAAATGGAGGGAAACCGATCATCATTGAATTTTTGACATGGCGATGCTTCAAAACTATTGTTTCCGCCCAAACTTGGATGGATCAATATCAACCATTTCCAGTGTTGCGATTCCATTGATACTTCATGTTGGGTCGCCACACTCATATAATCAGTGGCAGTGCTACATCCCAGAAATTGTGGATTGTATGTTATATCAAGTTGTAGGACCCCCCATATATGCCCAGATATCCCCAGTATCACACACATTTGTTATGTCAGAATGTATACTGTATATATATATAATTTTAATATATATATATATATAGATTCATTTTTGGTCGAGTCATTTTTTGGTTGCACATACATGCCCAAGTTTTGGTTGAAAAATCATGGCCAAGACGTGATCTTCGTTTCCTTTTCCTTCGGCCAGGCTTCACGATGTCGAAGGCACAATGGTGGTTTGAGTGGGTGATGTCGAATGGCAAGCGTTGAGTAGTTACCTGACCAGAAAGTGGATCAATGGTCCCACATGGAGTTCCAATATCAGACAATCATTTTTTTTGGGTCAATAATTTCCATTTTGACTCATGGCCAGGTAAAAAACATGTACAACATGTATTCAATGTATTTGTGATGTTCTGTTCAAGAACAATGCCAAAACTATCAGTTGTTTCTTAGCTACCCGCGCACCTACTGGGTGGAGGGTGTTTTTGATGTGTTCCAGCCTTTCATAAGACTCTTCAAAATCATTTAAATGTCCATGGGTATGTTGTAGTTGAGTGCGTGAAATCAATGATTGAGGTCTTTAGTCTCCCCCGTTTTTTGGACATATCCTTTTGAGTGACTCAACATATATATATATATGTTTGGCTTCAACTTGTTGTGGCCTTTGTTTGTTGGGAGTAGTGAGCTTGCGAACGTACCGCCTGTAACAAAAAAAAGAAAAATCTGATGAACTGAAAACCAACTGACGGTGTTGGTGAGCCTGGCGGTGTTTTCAGCTCAGCTTTCAGAGTCAAGCAAATATAGCTGATCCTCCTGTGAAGAGTTGAAGATGTTAAACATGTTCAAATTGTTCAAGCTATTTTAAGATGTGTGGAAGTGCGGTGAAATCTGCTGAAACTTCCGTAGTTGGACGCCTTTTCCATTCCGCACTTGTGCGGCGGCAGATGCTCCTGGCTGAATGCTGGAAACCAACTGAAGTTTCCAAACAACTTCTGTTTATTATCATGTTGTGACATTTACATCTGTCACTGTTGTTTGAAGGATGATCTTTACTTCTCACTTTTTATTTAGATCAGATTGATGTCAGTCTTCTCACCTTTTGCTCTGTTGCGAACATTTTGATTTTATGTTCCGCGCAATTTTGGCTAGGGTGTGGAGGGTGGGTTGCACTTGACCCGTTCGATTTTTCTATCCGATTTTTCCATATCGCCATGGATGCCTGACAGAATTTTGGAAGATCTTGATTTTACGGGACGTGCATTCTCTGACAGAACTTTCAGTTTTCATTTGAACACTGCCTGGATTTGCAAGTGTTTTGTTTTCATGGTACTTGTGCGTGATTCACACAGTTTGGGCGATTTACCAGATGCAGCTGGTGCTGCGCAGTGGCCTGTTTCGCAAGGGGACAATGGAGGCCAGAGCGACATGGACTGGGAACACGTACAACTTCCAGATGCTTTGAATGATCATGATTTTGGACAAGATTCACATTTCAGTCCTTTGTTTGGATACGAGGAAAAGGAATTTGCAGAGCAGCAAATTGAGGAAGAATATTCACTCGCTGCAAGTTTGGTCAGACCAGATGACGTTGAAAACCAGACTGGACGCTTCATGGTGCCCACAGCCAAGGCACGGGCTGATAGGAACTTGGCTGAAACAGTTGACATGGATGTCAGTCGAACCATTGACAACCTTGTGATTCAACATGTGGCTGGGTCTTCTTCACTGCCAAGTTCTTTTTTGAATAGAATGGATTTTGACAATGTATTTTCACTGGACAGCATTTGGAGGCAACCACAGCTGCCTATGTATGGGCGGTTTGAATCTGTTCAGGGCGTTGTGCATAGTGCAGTGAGCTCGCATGAGGAACCGGTGCAAGGAGTCTCAGATTTCAAACGCAAAAGACTGTTGGCAACGGCATTTGCCAAAACAGATGATCAGCTGGTTGATTGTGCAATGCGGCAACTCGAAGAGATAGTTCTTTTTCAACCTTTGGATTCAAGACTGGGCAGAGCACTTCTGGATTTTTCAGGAAAGCTGGTACCAGAGTCGAAAATTTCAACTTCCTTTATTGATGCTGTTGCTGGCAAGGCGCCTGGCACAGTATCTAAAAGGGTTGCAGACTATCACCGTTTTGCACGATGGGCAGTTGATGGGGGACGTTGCTATCCCATGAACATTTCAGAGACTGTGGTGTACGACTATGCCAAGCACTTGCAACTGTCCGGAGCCTCTGCAACATCTCTGCAGTCATTTATCAAAGCAATTGGATTTTTCGAACATCACATTGGCTTTGCGAGGGTGGATGTTGCTCAAATTTTTTCTGGCAGAGTGAACGGAGTTAGCAGGACTATGCTTTCAGGCAAAAGGGAGTTGAAGCAAGCTCCACCACTTACTGCTGATGCGTTGTACGCTTTGGAGAAACATGTCTGTGAGTGCAACGATGTGGAGGCATGCATTGGAGGATTCATGATTTTTTGTTTGCTGGCATCTGCAAGATTTGCTGACGCAGCTCGTGCGGAGACCGTGCATTTGGACATGAGTGGTCACATATCACTGCTGGAGACGTCAAGCATGAAATTCAAGACAGCGCATACGGCTGGCAAGGAAGCTAGGAATGTTGCCCTTCCTATGCTGGCCCTGGGCAATGGGCTTTACGAAAAGGACTCTTGGGCATGGACATGGATTCGTGCCCGGAAGCGACAAAAGATGGATCATTTCAAATTTTTGATGCCGGCCTGGAATGAAGAAACATCACAATGGTTGAATCGTCCAATGACATCTGGTGAAGGTGTATACTTTCTACGTGAGCTGCTGTGCAACTCTGGTATGAGTGAGGCTCAGGCGGCTTCATACAGCACACACACCTTGAAGGCTACTGCACTGTCTTGGGCGGCAACATCTGGAGCCATGTCAATTGATGAGAGGCGTATCATGGGGCACCATTTTGACTCCAGGTTAGCAATGCCATTGATATACTCGAGAGATGCGCTTGCCGAGATTCAAACCAAGTTGTGGCGCATTCTGGACTCCATTCGAAAGGGTTACTTTGACCCTGATGCAACTCGGGCTGCTCGGATTGCTGCACAGACTTTGCAAGATGCAGAACATGTCGATATTGAGAACTATTCTGACGAGTCAGTTGACCCCATTGAGCTGGGTGCAAGCGAAACTCTGCCAGTGCCTCAAGCAAAGAAACCTGTGCACAATGGACCGTTGACTGAAGAAATTTTCAAGTCATGTTTGCAGCATGTTTTGTCAGGAGTTTTGCATGTAGCAGTGGACTGTGAAAATTTGGCATGTTCACGAAAAGTTTCTGCGAACTACAAGAAGCCTTCTTTTGATTTTGAAATGGCATGTGAATTTCCATTTTGTGCTCAGTGTGCACAGCATTCTTGATAGTGAGTGCTTAGTGCAACAGAAGCGTGAGTTGGGGCGGGCGAGAGACAAACAAGGCGGGAATCTGTTCAGCAAACATGTCGAATCTTGCTTACTGGCAATGCATTGGCTGGTATGATTTTTGAATCTCGCTGTTGCATTACCCAGCTTGACTTGACTTCAATTTGTTGCAGCATGAATTTAGCTGACAACACAGGGAATGAGTGAATTGAATTCCTTTGTGGTGACTTGCACAACATGAAATTGAATTTCATCGACCTGATGCGTGAATTGCTCAGAGTCAGCGCATGACTTGCGCACCAATGATCCGATGCACAACTGTCGGAGCCTTTGAAAAACAGTGAACAGCTTCATGAATGTATGTTTTCTTGCAGTGTGAATTTCATTGCATCAATGACACATGTTTGAAGGTTCACGACTGTGGTTCAACTTATGAAGAAACATTGCGTTTCAATTTCGATCTTGTTGAACACTGTTTTTCATGCGTTGATTTTCAAATCAATAACTCACTTTAGTGGACGTTTCGCTCTTGACTTGACAATCTTTTGCAAGATAACAATAAAACTGTATCACTCAGCGACGGCTGGTCGAAAGTGCAGCCATGTCCGGACTTGATTCGAAACATGCTTTCAGCTCACGTGCGCTGGAAGTAGGGATGCAAGAGGACCTGCTAGAGAAGCTCAAGGGAGCTGGGTTGGACACGTTTGGGAGCCTTGCTTTTTCAAGTGATGCAACGCCAACTTCAAACACTGAAGAGAAGTTCAAGAAAGCAGTCCAAGATTTGATTTTGGTCGAGGTTGCCCCAGCTGAAATGATTCCACTTCGTAGGCTGTGGTTTGAAGCGCATGCCATGGTGCTCTCTGACATACGTAGCAGAACAGAAAGAACTGAGGCTGACCAGCCTAGGAAAATGCCACTTGCAGAGAGACTTGCTAGGATTGACAAACAGAAAAAGGAATTGAAAGGCCTGATCATCGACGCGTCAGTCGAACCAAGTCATGGATTGGTTGACAAGTTTCAAAACATGATCGAGGATGGTTGCTTGCTTTATGTAGGACCTGAGAAGTGCATGTCACGAGAAGAAGAAATTACCAAGGAAAAGAAAGAGTCAGCGCTGAGCATTGACCATGCTGGAGGTCTCAAAGTCACCAAGAAGGCTCAGGACTTGCAATGTGATGTTTCGGGCGAGCTTAGACTACGTGCGGCATTTACACGCCGATCTTTGGCCATGCATCAGACCAATTTGGTGACCTTTGATTTGATTGAAGAGTGGAATCAACAGATGTTTGCTGCGTTGTTGCGGCCGCCTCCAGCTGGACACAAGTATGTCACGACACAGCAGATCTTGAGTGCTGACAAGCAACTGTGGATGCACATCTCACAGCAAACCCGTGGCAAGTTGATTTCTGGCATAGGTGAGAAACCACCTTTGGATGAGCAATTGAAAAATTACATGAGGTCTCCTGAAGTTCTTTGCTTCATGACTCCATTGCCATCAGTGCGCGCTGAAGCGCCTTCAGGACATCGTTCCGAGCCATACAGTCGAGCGGAACAGAGCAGTGGATCCGGCAAAGGCAAAGGGAAGAACAAATTTCAGTCGAAAGGTGCTGCGTCAGGTCCCAGCTCTGGGCCCACTATCAAAGAGATGCTCACCAACATGCCAGACGGCTGCGCCAGCAAGCTGCCGAACGGTCAATGGCTGTGTGTTTTCTACAACAGAGGGATTTGCAAACATCAGAAGAAAGCACGTTGTCATTTGGGGCTTCACCAATGTTACTACAAGGGTTGCACAGAGAAGCGACCTTACATTGAGTGTAAGCACTGACTTGGTGAGCCGAAACAAGACAATACAATTTCTCACCCTCATGCAGACAAACCAATAGTCTTTTTGGAAATCTGTGCAGGCTCAAGCTGCGCTCTCTGCATCAATGCAACGCATGGGCTGGCAAGTTTTTCCGATTGACTATCATGCAAATCGTTTCAAAAACAAGATGCACATTTTTGAGTTGGATTTGTCATTGCATGAGAATATTTCACTCCTTGAAGGCATGATCGAACAGATGAAGCCGGTAGGAGCCCATTTTGGGCTTATGTGTGGAACTTGCAGCCGAGCACGAGAAGTGCCGGTTGCACATGCATTACGCTCTCAAGGAGCACCTCAACCTGCGCCACTCCGTGACGCGTTGCATCCACTTGGCCTGCCAAATTTGAGCACTCTGAACCAGCAGAGAGTTGACGCTGCAAATACTGTTTATAGACATGCTGTGCGCTTGTTGCATGCACTTTTTCGTGTTGGAGCATTCATTACACTGGAAAATCCTTTACGATCGTGGTTATGGACAGTACTTGCAACACTGGTCAAGCAATATGCACGCGAACACAAGTGCCCTGAATTTGCTGAGTGGTATTTTTGTTTTCACCCCGTGGAATTTGATTTTTGCATGCACGGAGGAAACCGTGCCAAGTCAACCAAGTTGCTGGTGTCGACCCGACAGTTTGAGCCACTGGGGATTATGTGCGACAAGTCCCACAACCATGAGCCATGGACAATTGTCAGTGGATTTGATAAGTGGATTTTTTCTACTGCAGCGGAAGCTCAATATCCTTCAATGTTCTGTGATCGATATGCTGAATGTGCAAGTACAATGGTCGCTGCTAATGCACTGGAGTATAACTCAAAATTTTTTCGACTGCAATCTTTAATGGCCCAATCCATTCAAGCCAAAGGTCATGACCAATTGATCCCTGAATTTTCCCAAATTATTGTCACTACGGTACTCCCTCAACTGCCACACAAAATTTTGGCTCGCTTGGGACACGGGGGAGACGACAGCGAGAGGTCAGCTGAAAGCTACAAGGTTGGCATTTATTTCAACCATCATGATCACCTCAAGCGTTCTTTAGAATTGCAGCACCCTGCATTTACGCACAAGGGTGTACCAGATGATTTGAAGAAAGCTATTTTCTTTGTGGCAACACACTCGATGGCAGATGTTGCCCTGTTCCGCATCAGCAAGCTGGGAGAATGTGTTGAAATTGCAAAGCGACTGGCTCTTGCGGAGAAACTGGCGAAAGTCAAAATGGACAAGAACGTGGCGGAGGTGACCAAGGCAAAACGCATTGAACTTTGGGAAAAACTGCTGACCCAGGTTGGGTTCGAAGACATGGAGGTTGTGCGCTATATGCGCGAAGGAGTTCCCCTGACTGGCTGGGAAGACGAAAGCGCTTTGTACAAACAACGATGGGCTCCACCTACAATGACAACCGAACAGTTGGACCACAGTGCTTTGTGGCGACGAAAAGCCCTTATGGGCAAAGCCTTTACTGACGAAGAACGTGGGCTTGCAAAACTGCTTATGGAAGAAACTATGAAAGAGGTATCTGCTGGTTTTCTGGATGGTCCCTTTTTGGAGTCTGATATAACAGAAAGGCTTGGGCGTGCGGACTGGTCAATGTCCCAACGGTTCCTTCTTTTGCAAGGTGAAGACCTTAAACCTAGAGTGATTGACAACTACAAAACGTCGGGAGTGAATGCGGCCTTTGGAACATCGTCGCACCTTGACCTGCACGACACCGACGTAATCAGTTGCTTTCTTGCGTTTGCTTTGGGTGTTTTCTGCGGAGATCCACATATCGACATCGAACTTTCTTCAGGTGACCACCTCACTGGTCGAAGGCACCCTGACTACGACCGAAAGCCTTTGCTGCTGGGCAGGGGCATCGACTTGAGCAAGGCGTACAAGCAGGTCAGTGTTGCTCCTCAGTCTGCTAGACATAGCGTTTTGGGAGTGCGAAGTGAATCTGGCGAATGGAAGTTCTTTATATCGAAGTCACTGCCTTTTGGAGCCACGTCCAGCGTTTTTGCATTCAACAAGATCACGCGCGGTATCTGGACTTTGATGGTTCGAAAATTTCACCTCCTTACCACTGTATTTTATGATGATTTTCCTGTTATTGAGTTTGAACCTTTGGCGGCAACAACTACGAACGTGGTGCAGCACCTTTTGGATTTGCTTGGGTGGAAGCATGCTACGACTGGTAAAAAGAGTGTTGATTTTTCTGACACCATGCAGGTGTTGGGAGTAGCATTCCACTTGCAGAACTTTTGGAACAAACAAGTGACAGTGGCGAACCGCCCAAGTCGGATACAGAGGATTTTGGAGATGCTTGAATCATACGCTGCCAAGGGTACTGTGTCTGCACCCGAGGCGGCGACTATGCATGGATTGCTGAATTATGCTGGTGGCTTTGTGGTTGGACGTTGTTTGAAGCCTGCCGCCAGACAGTTTGCAAGTTTGCAGTCAGGTTCATCAGATACAGAGCTCATATCGCGCTTGTGCAATGATACATGCAGGATCATTAACCGAATGCGACCACGAGAAATTCGCTTCCTGAGCAGCGATCGTCCGGCAGTGATTTACACGGACGGTGCGTACGAGAATGGGAATGGAACCTGGGGTGCAGTTGTCATAATCCCTCAACTTGGCATTAATGCAATTCACTGGGGAACCATCCCACCAGTCCTGATGGAGCACTGGACATCTATTGGACTTCAGCAGAAAATTTGTCAAATTGAGTTGGTTGCAGTTTTGCTTGTGAGGTATTTTTACCGCAATGAACTTTCCAATTCTTCAGCACTGTACTTCGTTGACAACGAGGCTGCACGTTTTTGCTTGATCAAAGGATCCAGCCCTTCACTGTCCATGTACAACATCTGTCGTGCAGTGTCCTTAGTAGAAGCAGAATTTCCTTCCGCTTCATGGTATGAAAGGGTGGCTTCGGAGTCAAACATTGCTGACCTGCCGTCACGCTCCAAACTGAAAGAATGCCAGGCAATCTCGGGAGGAAACCTTGCAGGCGATATATGCTTGCCTGAAACAATGCTCTTGGAAGTTACAAGAAAGTGAAGCTCTTTACATGTCGAAAAAAAAACGGGGGTTACAGGCGACATGACTTGTTGACCTGAAACAGTTACCAGACACTTGACTTGTGTTTGTGCGGTTTCACCCCCGACTCAATTAAGATAAGCAAAGACAAAAAGAAATATTAAATACATGTCCGACCTTCGAGCGATTTGCGTGGCGTTTTGAGTTTTACGTTTGTTTGAATAAGAAATTTAATTTACAAAGGGACGAGCACAAACGTTTGGCTTCAACTTGTTGTGGCCTTTGTTTGTTGGGAGTAGTGAGCTTGCGAACGTACCGCCTGTAACAAAAAAAAGAAAAATCTGATGAACTGAAAACCAACTGACGGTGTTGGTGAGCCTGGCGGTGTTTTCAGCTCAGCTTTCAGAGTCAAGCAAATATAGCTGATCCTCCTGTGAAGAGTTGAAGATGTTAAACATGTTCAAATTGTTCAAGCTATTTTAAGATGTGTGGAAGTGCGGTGAAATCTGCTGAAACTTCCGTAGTTGGACGCCTTTTCCATTCCGCACTTGTGCGGCGGCAGATGCTCCTGGCTGAATGCTGGAAACCAACTGAAGTTTCCAAACAACTTCTGTTTATTATCATGTTGTGACATTTACATCTGTCACTGTTGTTTGAAGGATGATCTTTACTTCTCACTTTTTATTTAGATCAGATTGATGTCAGTCTTCTCACCTTTTGCTCTGTTGCGAACATTTTGATTTTATGTTCCGCGCAATTTTGGCTAGGGTGTGGAGGGTGGGTTGCACTTGACCCGTTCGATTTTTCTATCCCCTCCCAAACTTCGTTTTCCCTCCCTTATCTTGTGGGGGGGTGACAGGCGACATGACTTGTTGACCTGAAACAGTTACCAGACACTTGACTTGTGTTTGTGCGGTTTCACCCCCGACTCAATTAAGATAAGCAAAGACAAAAAGAAATATTAAATACATGTCCGACCTTCGAGCGATTTGCGTGGCGTTTTGAGTTTTACGTTTGTTTGAATAAGAAATTTAATTTACAAAGGGACGAGCACAAACATAATATATATATATATACATAGCACCCACGGGATCGGAGGAGGGCCCATTTCGATCTCGGTTGCAGGAACTCAGATCCAGCAAAATTATGCAAAGTGGGGTAATTTCAATATCAAACAAGAGCATGTTTGATTCCCCTTCATTTACTATATATACAGCTGCAACTGCATGAATATCCCTATCTTTGTTGGCACAAACCGTTCCGGTTGGTTGTGAAGATCCTCAATCCTTTCCACATCAGCCCTGTTCGCCCACCTCGAATTGGTCCCAGTTTTCCCAACAGGAGCGCGGCCGTGCCAGCGTTAGGCCGACGAAAATGGGGTCTGTCGTGCTGGGTCGAAATGGGACGGCAATCGGCCAACAAAAATATCATATGGGTCTGTTTCAGAGGGGTATACCCCCAAATAACAATCAAATGACAGGGAGAACGTTGATAAACCTGCCTAAATTTTTGGTTACTCCATTTTCATGGACACCTTCAACGCAGGAGATCCTCAGGCTTTAGCTTCCTACGAAACGGTCGGTCCCTGAACGGGTTTGGTTTCCTTAGGTTTGACGGACTTCTGGAGGCATAACCAAGTTGAGGTTGTTGGGAAATCGGCAAACTTTTGGTGAGGCGATACACCAATTTGATAAACCATAAGTGGGGGTCATTTACCAAAAATTAACATCCAACAACTAGTCACTAACTAGTCAAACCAAACAGCTTTACAGCATTCCCATGAAGTTACAATTTGAATCGCATTTTTTTTTGGGTGCTCAGTTTTATCCCCTGGTGGTTGATGTACCAGGAAACTCCCATGGCCAGGCCTGGCCGCGCTTTCTGCCAAATGCTCAGAACAGGGACTGACCCCTTTGGTGATGGATGGACGTGCGAATCCTCGCGTGTTGAACACATCCCACGGTGGATCCTTGCGAACAGACATGAACATGATTTGGGGGCCTTGTTCTTTAGACCTCGCTTCTGTCCCCATTGTTTTGGATCAGTTGAAGAGTAGAACGCGCTTGCGGTGCAGTGGGAAAAAGCAACATTCGAGGCTCAGGTGATTCAATCACTCAGGAATTTCTGGATCGAAACCTGCAAAAAAGAGAGTTTCCACATTTCTTCGCCTCGAAAGACCATCTTTTTTTTTGCTGGTCCCAGGCGCGGGCCTGGGTGGCGCTACCCGGGTCAGATGAGCTGCCAAGTTCCTTGGTTCATTGATGATTTTTCTGCTGGAGATATCAACAAACCATAATCAACCTGATTTCGCTTCAAACATCAGATTTATCTCTGGCATCGATGGTTTATGAAAAAAAATGTCAAATTACGGTTGAAGACCCCTTTTGAACCCTCTGTCACCACCATTGTTTGGATATTCTTGATCCAATGAACATGGTTGTTTGAAATTGACCAAGAAAGGTCGATTCCAGGTACAGTAGATGAAATGCACAATTCTACCCGGAGCTACTAACGACAGCTGTTGAATTCGGACCTTGGAATTGGTCTCTTCACAACGGAGGATTTGGTCATTGCCTCAGCTTCCTGAGCACAACAGGCCATTTTGGAACGTTTGAAGTTTGAAGAGACCAATACCCACCCATTCGCTTGGTTAATAGAGGAAACCCTAAATGTGATGGTGACCTCGCTAAAGTTGCGAACATTTCGACCTCGTCTATGTCCGGGATTGGGCTATGTTGGCCTCATTTGGCCACTCTGAAGTTGCTGATTTTCCAACTTCACCGTTAAGAGCGACATATTCCGATTTTCCATATTTTCCAACTTTCCAACAGCTTAACGTTTGTTTGTTTGGTGGTTCCATCATTCTTTTGGATTTCAAGCCTTAATGAGATCATGATCCCCAGTTGAAGATTTGTCGAACACGGGCCCCTGCCAAGCTTTCCAATGAATCTTTGCGCTAAGATGAAAGAATTTCTGACCGGTAATCCCCCAAAAAATAGAACATTAGATTATTAAATCGCAAGCTATTTTCGTGGGATTCTAGCCTTTTAGTTTTCTTTCTTAGGGGTTGCTTTAGCCCAGGCAGCAGAAGCACGCAGGCAATTTTGCTGGTAGAGGATTTGCACAAACTTGGCTAGGCAAAGCACAGAATCTTAGAAACAACCGTATTTTGGCTTCAATCCGGATTCTTTTTGGTGAAATCATCTTGAACCCCTTTTCTTTTTGTTCCAATTAAAGATATTAAAGTCAAAGTTTCCCATTTTGACTCCTGGTTGATGGTCGAACCATGCTAATCCCAATTTTCGCTGGTGAATTCCCTCACGTTTTTCGAAGCATCCCAGGATGCCGTGGGCTGGCGCCTGGCGCCGGCGTTCGGGCACTTTCGACTCTGGGAGGTGACACAGGCTATCATGGCAACTTAGGAAGTCCACAGATAGTGTTGCCCGACTTGTTTTTGTATTACGGTAGTAAAAAAAAAGTATCACGTATCTTTTCACTGGGGTGACCGCATCCAGGAATTTTGAAGCGGGATGATATCAACGTACAAAAATTGGGGAATGGGCATATTTTTCCATTGTTTTTGATATGTCCAGTTTACTATGTTTGGGAATAAGCCGGGGGATAAAGTGCCAGCGACCAAAAAGTCAGGGGATTCGTAGCACGGAACAAAAATCACTGGCCTCATTTTTCAGGCGCCCAAAAGGTGCAGGTTACAAAGGCAAAGTGTCCACATGTAGGGTAGTGCAAAGCAGCACCATTAATCTTCATATCTGTCAAAATATTGAACTTACGACTTACAATCATATCATCATATATCATGTAATGATATATCATATGTATATATATATAAGTATATGTATATATATAAGTATATGTATATAATTATACATCATATATATATATATGTATAAGTATGTGTATATATATATAATTATACATATATATATATATATATACATACGGATATTCCATAAACATATTCTATGGATGTTTTGCACTGACCAGGCAGTCAGTCTCAGGGCGCCAGAGGGGTGGCATCTGCACCAGGCGGGGACGAGGACCATGACATGGTCCCATTTTGATGGGAGATTATGGGATGTTAGTAGGGTGTTAATGGGAGATATCGACATGTTTAAGGGACTTAACTGACTTAACCATATGTAACCAATGAATATCGAAGTTTGATGGGTATGTATGGGATATATAAGCAACAATGTGATAGTGTGTCTGAAAATGGGATATGCCCCCAATTTGGCATATAGATCATATAGGGAACTGCGTGACAAAAAGGTGAGTTAGGGGTACGCTATTTGCACAAACCCATTTATAACTGGGTTGTAAACCCACTTCCCAAGCAGTTGCTGAGTGTGATCTTGCCATGGAATGGCCCTGGAAATCAGCATTGATTTATTGATCATTGATGGGTTTTGATCACTATACAAAGGTGTCAGGTGCCAAATGGCTGCATCTTCTTTTCGTTTGGGGCTCTTGGGGCTCTTGGCTACCGGGTGAGATATCCCTTATCACTACTCCCACAGAATGGGACCTTAAAGTGAACAGATTCAACACAAGCGAAATGCACTGAGGGTGATAAGCGGTTGTCCGCTTCGCTAGAATTCAGAGGGTCTGACAAAAGGACCAAACAAGTCCGTCCGCCCTAAAAGGCTTTGCCATTTCTTAACATTTCAGCATTGTCCAAGGGATTCCAAGGGTGCAATCTTGGAGTGTATTTCTGTATGTGGGTCAAAGTTCAAGAGCGAACGGTCCAGTGATTTTTTTGTGCTTTTGAATCTGAACCGTCTTTCTGTTCGGAAGCACTCAACTGCTACGATACTGTGGAAAGAAAGCAAGGTCCTTGATGCTTGGTGTTTCCAAGTGGGTGATCACCCGACTTCATATACAGTATTTCACCAGGTTTATAACCTAACTTCCTCATTTTTTTTATAGCATCTGATTTTTTATTTCATCAATTTCATCTGGTTCATAGGATGAATCACAATCTACTAAGGACCTAATTTTACGAATGTAGCCTCCAGGAGCCAACATTCCAATGTTGGCTTCTCAGGCGAACATTGGAATGTGTGCAAATATAACCACCATGGATTGTTTGGGATAAATAAGGTTCATAAAATTTTATTAATGATATATCCGATATCCGCATGTATATATATATATCTATCAATCAATATTAATCAATCAATCAATCAATCAATCAATCAATCAAATTCTATATCTTATATATTTAGTCAGGGACCGACTGCACAGCGAAAAAACGAGATGCCATGGATGCTGCCAACCACGCTCAGGCCCATGTCGGTCCATGTCTGGCCCGAGCCATGAGGACCGTGAGGACCGGAGCTGGTCCGGAAGGGGCGCCAGAGCAATGGCCATGAGTTTTTGATGCCCGGATGGGGGTGGCTATCTTCAAGGTATTTCAAGGTCGGAAAGCCATGCAAACACCTCAAGAGTCGGTTTAAGTCTTCACCATTCAAAACCTGAAGCATTTTGGCCCAAATTTACAATTCAGGTCCATAAGTTTGTAGTCGAACCGATCTTATTCGCAATATGAGGCTGACCAACGTCTGTGCCATGTTCCTTTGGTGCCTCTTTGGTGTCAACGCGGTGCCATCGGGCTGTGGGCATTGCATGGAGCAGGAGGAGAACGGGCTCGTGCAGTTGGTGAACCTCCAGCCGAACGTGCAGTCGTCCCACTACCATCCCCGCCGCGCTCGGAGATTCCGCCGCTTCCGCCGCTACGGTGCGAAGACCACCAGCACCACAAGCACCACAAGCACCAGCAGCAGCAGCAGCGGCAGCAGCAGCAGCAGCAGCAGCAGCAGCACCAGCAGCACCACCACCACCAGGGTGGTGTGTGGAGACATTCCTCTCGATCAAAATGAACAGGTGTTGAGCACGCCCCAAAATTTCGTCAGAATCGAGCCAGTTCCAGACGCACCCGACAGTATAGCGTCAGAATGCCAATGTATAGGCGGCGATTTGCGTGTGGTGCTGACACTGACACTCACTGCGAATTTTGCCACTGCTTATTTCGTATCCATCACCAGTGTAAATGGCACAGAAGCCACAGCGCCAGCATTTCGACCCCTACAAGGCTTAGGAAATCAACTCTTTGCAGGGACCGTGGCATTCAACGGGTTCCCAGGGCTTGGCGCCTGGGTTATCAAGCTGCTCGATGCTAGCGGCAACCCTTCCATCCAAAACATTTCCAGAGGGAAGCTCGAGTTTGGACTTCAAGCATGCAACTGAGCTCTCGAGGCTGTTGGGAAAAACAGGATTGTGTGTTTTTCAGTTGTTTCTTTGCTCTTGAAGAGGTGGATCAAGCAGAGCTGTTTGGAAAACCACAGCTCCAATTCCATCATCTTGGCTATCATAAGAATACACAAGATAGGATATACCAGTAGTACCGCACAAGGCAGTGGCGGAAGTTTCAAAAATAGGAAACCTATAGGAGAGGTTGGTTGTTGATCATCTGTGTGTCGTTCGGTGTCAGGAGGCGATCGCCTCAAGGCTGCCAGGCTCCGGGCTTGGCTTCGTCCCGCCCATTTTGCGACGTGTTGACATCAATTCACCACAGAACAGAAGTGGATTTCGGAAAGTGTTGTGCTTTGGATCTTTTCGTTGCTTCAAAACTCTGTATAGCATCCAGAAATCCCAGTCTTTTTTTCAGGGATAGGTTTTGACCCATACCTAGTTGTGTTGGGTTCTTTGATCGGATACCGGAGCGTACGATACTTCTGGGTTGTCACAACTACAGGAGCAACACGAGCAAGAACAAAAACAAATACAACAAACGAACATAGTCAGGAAAACATCCATGATGCGGGTTTCAACCGCATTTATTTCAGATTGTGGAAGGCGTGGCTGGTGAGTTGAGTGCACTCCATCGGCCATCCAGCCGAAGATTGAGTTTTGGAATGATCTCACGGTCGTTGGTGAAGGGTACCTAGCAACTCTACAAGAGTAGCGTGTGTGACCTATTGTGCAGTCATTGAGAATTTCCCCCAGGGTTTCATCCAGTTGATGATACTTTGGCAAGTCTAGGCTGGTGGTATTGCTCAAACAAATGTTTTGCCCGAATTTTGTTTGCTACAGGTGGATTCCATCCAATATGTTGAATATCGGCTGGAGTCTTGTCCATTCCGGCAGGAATGATAACATGCCGCGGTGAGCGCAACTATGGCGGGCAAGGCGTCCAGCAAAGCGCGGTCCACTTGGTCCAAGTGGGATTGGGCCAAACTTTCCGTCTTCCAAAAGTTAAAGAAACTCAGGATGATAGGATGGTTGATCTGAAATTTGATGAAATTAGGATGTTTACACAACCGATGTCCCAACAGATCTGTGTTTTTTCCACAGCTCTAAACCTGACCCACTCACCCCGTGAGGTACTCACAACGTTCTGAACAAAGCTGACGGGCTTGTACAGTCGGAACACACTGGGAAAAAATGTGCCGCCGAAACGTATTTTGACTTGCTCTGTGGAATGACAACCAGCACGACAGTTTTGCAGCAGGAAAACATGTTGTTCAGACAGAATGTGTGTAGTTTTACTCCTGTCAACGGGTTTGAAGAGATCCAGTGATTTTGATATGCTGTGACGAGGGGTTTCCCCGACTTTGCCCGCATTGGGGACTCTGTTGAGAGTGGACACGCCGTTGCCTGTGGCTCTGCTATTGCCAGTACGAATGAATGATGAAGGCGCACCGCGATTTGTGTCAGCTGTGCTTGTGTCATGCCCGTGGCAGCGAACCAAAGATCATGGAGTCTTTTGTGGATCATGGGCATCTGCCAAGGGTAATAGGAATGATACTGGCGCATAACTATGACTATTATGTTGTCAAATTTATCAATACAGAACCATGTCCAACATACTTTTTCCCCGGCCGGTTCTGTTTTTTGCTTGGATCCGGAAATCAGTGGAAACCGAACAGGTAATGTGCCGTCCGAAACCATACTTGCACCGTGAGTTTTGGAGCATAGCCTCGCATCTATATAGATATGTCATCCAAAACGTGTGGGCGCTTCAGATCCCGCCATTCACATTGAATGCCTTGACAAATGGAGGGAAACCGATCATCAATTTTTGACGTGGCGATGCTTCAAAACTATTGTGTCCGCCCAAACTTGGATGGATCAATATCAACCATTTCCAATGTTGCGATTCCATTGATACTTCATGTTGGGTCGCCACACTCATATAATCAGTGGCAGTGCTACATCCCAGAAACTGTGGATTTTATGTTATTCATATCAAGTTGTAGGACCCCCATATATGCCCAGATATCACACACATTTGTTACGTCAGAATGTATACTGTATATGTATAATTATGTATATATATATATTATATAATTATATATATATACTCATCTTTGGTCGAGTCATTTTGTGGTTGAACATACATGCCCAAGTTTTGGTTGAAAAATCATGGCCAAGACGTGATCTTCGTTTCCTTTTCCTTCGGCCAGGCTTCACGATGTCGAAGGCACAATGGTGGTTTGAGTGGGTGATGTCGAATGGCAAGCGCTGAGTAGTTACCTGACCAGAAAGTGGATCAATGGACCAACATGGAGTTCCAATATCAGACAATCCTTTTTTTTTGGTCAATCATTTCCATTTTGACTCATGGCCAGATCAAAAACATGTACAACATGTATTCAATGTATTTGTGATGTTCTGCTCAAGAACAATGCCAAGACTATCAGTTGTTTAGCTAGAGGGTGTTCTTAGCTACCCTCGCACCTACTGGGTGGAGGGTGTTTTTGATGTGTTCCAGCCTTTCATAAGACTCTTCAAAATCATTTAAATGTCCATGGGTATGTTGTAGTTGAGTGCGTGAAAGCAATGATTGAGGTCTTTAGTCTCCCCCGTTTTTTGATGTTTTTTGGACATATCCTTTTGAGTGACTCAACATATATATATATATATACACATAGCACCCACGGGATCGGAAGAGGGTCCATTTCGATCTCGGTTGAAGGAACTCAGATCCATCAAAATTATGCAAGTGGGGTAATTTCAATATCAAACAAGAGCATGTTTGATTCCCACCTTCATTTACTGTATCTACAGCTGCAACTGCATGAATATCCCTATCTTTGTTGGCACAAACCGTTCCGGTTGGTTGTGAAGATCCTCAATCCTTTCCACATCAGCCCTGTTCGCCCACCTCGAGTTGGTCCCAGTTTTCCCAACAGGAGCACGGCCGTGCCAGCGTTAGGCCGACGAAAATGGGGTCGTGCTGGGTTGAAATGGGACGGCAATTGGCCAACAAAAATATCAAGAGTTGACTGGGTCGGTTTCAGAGGGGTATACCCCCAAATGGCCATCAAATAGTAGGGAGAACTCGGGAGAACGATGATAAACCTGCCGATTTTTTTTCGGTACTCCATTTTCATGGACAACTTCAACGCAGGATATCCTCAGACCAAGTTGACCTGACCCTACGAAACGGTGGGTCCCTGAACGGAGGGTTTCCGGAGGGTTTGACGGACTTTTTGAGGTTGTTGGGAAATCGGCAAACTTTCGGTGAGGCGATACCCCAATTTGATAAACCATCAGTGGGGGTCATTGGGTCATGAAAAATCATACCAAAAATTAACATCCAACAACTAGTCACTAACTAGTCAAACCAAACAGCTTTACAGCATTCCCATGAAGTTACAATTTGAATCGCAGTTTAATATGGGTGCTCAGTTTGATCCCTGCTGGTTGATGACAGTATTTTCACTATATCACCGATTTTTCACTTAGATGAACATGATTCAAGAGGGAATTTGTTTGAAGATAGGGGTACCACGAAACTCCCATGGCCAGGCCTGGCCGCGCTTTCTGCCACATGCTCAGAGCAGGGTGATGGATGGATGTGCGAATCCTCGCGTGTTGAACACATCCCACGGTGGATCCTTGCGAACAGACATGAACATGATTTGGGGGCCTTGTTCTTTAGACCTCGCTTCTGTCCCCATTGTTTTGGATCAGTTGAAGAGTAGAACGCGCTTGCGGTGCAGTGGGAAAAAGCAACATTCGAGGCTCAGGTGATTCAATCACTCAGGAATTTCTGGATCGAAACCTGCAAAAAAGAGAGTTTCCACATTTCTTCGCCTCGAAAGACCATCTTTTTTTTTGCTGGTCCCAGGCGCGGGCCTGGGTGGCGCTACCCGGGTCAGATGAGCTGCCAAGTTCCTTGGTTCATTGATGATTTTTCTGCTGGAGATATCAACAAACCATAATCAACCTGATTTCGCTTCAAACATCAGATTTATCTCTGGCATCGATGGTTTATGAAAAAAAATGTCAAATTACGGTTGAAGACCCCTTTTGAACCCTCTGTCACCACCATTGTTTGGATATTCTTGATCCAATGAACATGGTTGTTTGAAATTGACCAAGAAAGGTCGATTCCAGGTACAGTAGATGAAATGCACAATTCTACCCGGAGCTACTAACGACAGCTGTTGAATTCGGACCTTGGAATTGGTCTCTTCACAACGGAGGATTTGGTCATTGCCTCAGCTTCCTGAGCACAACAGGCCATTTTTGGAACGTTTGAAGTTTGAAGAGACCAATACCCACCCATTCGCTTGGTTAATAGAGGAAACCCTAAATGTGATGGTGACCTCGCTAAAGTTGCGAACATTTCGACCTCGTCTATGTCCGGGATTGGGCTATGTTGGCCTCATTTGGCCACTCTGAAGTTGCTGATTTTCCAACTTCACCGTTAAGAGCGACATATTCCGATTTTCCATATTTTCCAACTTTCCAACAGCTTAACGTTTGTTTGTTTGGTGGTTCCATCATTCTTTTGGATTTCAAGCCTTAATGAGATCATGATCCCCAGTTGAAGATTTGTCGAACACGGGCCCCTGCCAAGCTTTCCAATGAATCTTTGCGCTAAGATGAAAGAATTTCTGACCGGTAATCCCCCAAAAAATAGAACATTAGATTATTAAATCGCAAGCTATTTTCGTGGGATTCTAGCCTTTTAGTTTTCTTTCTTAGGGGTTGCTTTAGCCCAGGCAGCAGAAGCACGCAGGCAATTTTGCTGGTAGAGGATTTGCACAAACTTGGCTAGGCAAAGCACAGAATCTTAGAAACAACCGTATTTTGGCTTCAATCCGGATTCTTTTTGGTGAAATCATCTTGAACCCCTTTTCTTTTTGTTCCAATTAAAGATATTAAAGTCAAAGTTTCCCATTTTGACTCCTGGTTGATGGTCGAACCATGCTAATCCCAATTTTCGCTGGTGAATTCCCTCACGTTTTTCGAAGCATCCCAGGATGCCGTGGGCTGGCGCCTGGCGCCGGCGTTCGGGCACTTTCGACTCTGGGAAATGACACAGGCTATCATGGCAACTTAGGAAGTCCACAGATAGTGTTGCCCGACTTGTTTTTGTATTACCCTCTGGTAAACTAACATAGCTATTGAAAATGGCCATTTATAGTGAGTTTTCCCATTAAAAATGGTGATTTTCCATAGCTATGTTAAATTACCAGAGGGTAGTAAAAAAAAGTATCACGTATCTTTTCACTGGGGTGACCGCATCCAGGAATTTTGAAGCGGGATGATATCAACGTACAAAAATTGGGGAATGGGCATATTTTTCCATTGTTTTTGATATGTCCAGTTTACTATGTTTGGGAATAAGCCGGGGGATAAAGTGCCAGCGACCAAAAAGTCAGGGGATTCGTAGCACGGAACAAAAATCACTGGCCTCATTTTTCATGCGCCCAAAAGGTGCAGGTTACAAAGGCAAAGTGTCCACATGTAGGGTAGTGCAAAGCAGCACCATTAATCTTCATATCTGTCAAAATATTGAACTTACGACTTACAATCATATCATCATATATCATGTAATGATATATCATATGTATATATATATATAAGTATATGTATATATATAAGTATATGTATATAATTATACATCATATATATATATATATGTATAAGTATGTGTCTATATATATACTTATACACACATATATATATACATACGGATATTCCATAAACATATTCTATGGATGTTTTGCACTGACCAGGCAGTCAATCTCAGGGCGCCAGAGGGGTGGCATCTGCACCAGGCGGGGACGAGGACCATGACATGGTCCCATTTTGATGGGAGATTATGGGATGTTAGTAGGGTGTTAATGGGAGATATCGACATGTTTAAGGGACTTAACTGACTTAACCATATGTAACCAATGAATATCGAAGTTTGATGGGTATGTATGGGATATATAAGCAACAATGTGATAGTGTGTCTGAAAATGGGATATGCCCCCAATTTGGCATATAGATCATATAGGGAACTGCGTGACAAAAAGGTGAGATTTAGGGGTACGCTATTTGCACAAACCCATTTATAACTGGGTTGTAAACCCACTTCCCAAGCAGTTGCTGAGTGTGATCTTGCCATGGAATGGCCCTGGAAATCAGCATTGATTTATTGATCATTGATGGGTTTTGATCACTATACAAAGGTGTCAGGTGCCAAATGGCTGCATCTTCTTTTCGTTTGGGGCTCTTGGGGCTCTTGGCTACCGGGTGAGATATCCCTTATCACTACTCCCACAGAATGGGACCTTAAAGTGAACAGATTCAACACAAGCGAAATGCACTGAGGGTGATAAGCGGTTGTCCGCTTCGCTAGAATTCAGAGGGTCTGACAAAAGGACCAAACAAGTCCGTCCGCCCTAAAAGGCTTTGCCATTTCTTAACATTTCAGCATTGTCCAAGGGATTCCAAGGGTGCAATCTTGGAGTGTATTTCTGTATGTGGGTCAAAGTTCAAGAGCGAACGGTCCAGTGATTTTTTTGTGCTTTTGAATCTGAACCGTCTTTCTGTTCGGAAGCACTTAACTGCTACGATACTGTGGAAAGAAAGCAAGGTCCTTGATGCTTGGTGTTTCCAAGTGGGTGATCACCCGACTTCATATACAGTATTTCACCAGGTTTATAACCTAACTTCCTCATTTTTTTAAATAGCATCTGAATTTTTATTTCATCAATTTCATCTGGTTCGTAGGATGAATCATAATCTACTAAGGTTATGAAGCACCAAAAAGGTTCAGGTTCTGAAGCTCCCCTGCTAGGTCTGGGTTTTTGCGGCAGCTGTTTCAGGCCTTAGCAGCGCGTCGGTCAGGGGTTTCAACAAGAATGGGATGATACTGATGATACAGCACTGATACTGATACATGTAACCAGGTTGAGGATCGGAGTTTCTTGGAGAAGATGGTAGATCATCCAGTAAGCATCTGGATATCGGGGTTCTCCCCCTGTCGTATCTCTAAGCTGGGTTTAGCTTTAGAAAAGAGCACTTTTTTGAACTGCAGGGACAATCTCATCCATCGTCAATTTGGAGTTTTTTTTTTTTTTTTTTCCCAATGTTCGGACATAAAACGCTGGTTGGGTCAGGCTACTCAGCATGGCCCTGGGTGCTCGGCACCTTCTGCGGGGAGTCAAGCTGGCCATGTCTTTAACAGTCTGGTGATAAAAACAGAGAACATCATACACAAACATAGACATAGAAATAGGAGAATAGATGACTTATCATCAAAGTTGAACATCTACTATCACAGTTGCAGATGATATGAGCGTACAGTACCCACACATATATATATATATGTATATGTATATACATACCTATACATATACATATACATAACATATACATAACATAACATATATATAGAGTAAAATCATCTAACCTGGGGAAACGTCCGTGAGGTACTGGATCCGTGCCCTGTGGCCAGGTCACGGCCCTGGCGGCGGAGAAACGCGTGAGACGGAAACGCAAGGTGCGAACCAACCGCTGGTCATTATTGTTATGGCTATCGTTAGTATGGTTATCAATTAGCAATAGCATGGCTATTATTGTTATTATTGTTGTTGTTGTTCTTCATCTTTATTTTTTTTGAAACCATGGAACCCTGGAACCCAGAAACCATGGACCCTTGCAAGTCTTGAACCTTGGTGCTTAGAACCTTGGAAACCTTGCACACTGGGAACCCTCAAGCTTAGGAATCCTTGAAACTTTGAATCTTGGAACTCTCCCAGCCAGAATCCTACATAAGTTGAAGCACCTCTGTTGTGTTTCGCTGTTGCTTTGCATGGTTCTCGTCATTTTGTTGTTCATGAAACAACCTCTACCCTTACAAGTCTGGAACCTTGATGCTTGGAACCTTGAACTCTGGAATTCCTGGAGCGCTGAAACCCTCTAATTTTGGAACCCTGTGACCCTGAAACTCTTGGAACTTTGGAAACCTACATCCTTGGGTTCCTGGCACCCTGCAACTTTAGAACCTTGCCCCGTGATTATGGAAATTGGAACCCTGGAACATTCTGTTGGGTTGCAAAGCTGGATTACTGATTCTTATTATTCCATAATTTCCATATGATTTCGGATTTGGAAATCCAGAATAACTATTCCATAATTTCCATAGTACGATCCTTGTTTTTTTTTTGCCTTGTTGAACGTGTTGAACTTGTTGAACCACCCCTTTATCGATGCACCGGCAAAAATCGCTTCCAGGCGCCGGCCAAATCGGAGAAGAAGATCCGAGAGGAGAAACGAGAGCCACCCGGCCGTTTTAGCAGAGTGGGTGCACCGTTGACCTGGAGAATCCTGGAGAATATTTTCCTGGATGTCACTTGAAGGAATGATAGACGAGTGGAATGCTGTCCTTGCGAAAACTGGATATCATAGCTCAGTGGATCTAGAAAAAATTGGCCATTCCCATTGAGGAAAAAAGGTATGACTGCTGGGCGTTTGTTTGTGAGACCAATCTTTAAGTGATGGGAGACTCCCTTAGACCTTAGAATTCTTTTGGAATGGACACGCGAATGGTCAGGGTTGCTCCACATGACAAGACTACCAAGCAAAAAAGGGGAGAGATTGGTTGATTCTATGTATATTTGATGACATTAATAATTTTTGACAATTTATTTTACCGATTTTTGCCAGTTGGTTTTTCCTATTAAAACATCGAATGGGGACTGGGAAGTGCCAAGGGATGCTCATGGGGAATCGAAGATTTAACAGGAATATCATGGGGATATCATGGGTTAATATTGGGATAATGTCATGGGTTACAGTAACAAGAGGAGAATCATGGAATGATAGCAATGGAATAATCATTCATTGAATAACAACATCATTATATATCATATAATGATTAAACACATGCATCCCACTATCATGATTTTCTCAGTAATAATGAACAACTAATGAGACTTAAAGAATGGAATAATCACGGAATAATCATGGAATAATCATGGAATAATCAATGGGTTCCATGATGAGAATCATCATTGATCAATGGCCGAGGAAGGGAGTCCTGGCTCGAGATCTCGCCGGTGCCTTGAAGGTGTCGAACGAGGAGCGGGGCGAGGTAGTTGACCCCAGGAATGGGTCCTGGGATTTTTCTTGGACACCCTGAAAAATCCACCATTTATAATCATTTCTAGATGATTTTCACATTAAAAACTCCATTTATATAGGAAATTTCCGTTGCCATGTGTGATTACCAGAGGGTGGGAGAAATCTCCAAACGTTGGATTTCACCAGTGCTGAGGGAAAACATGCTATATCCTATATAGAGGTTTTCCCAAAATGTGGGTAGCCCAAATCGTCCAAAATTAGACAAGTTTAATATATTTTAGCATTGAAGTGGTGACTAGGATTGACTAGGTATCCCTAAGAACCCCCCATATATCTTACCGGGTTTCATATTGGAGAGACACTCACTCCGGCCAAGTGGCCCCGCGAAATGCAAGTAGAACGCTGGGTCTGAAATTTTGGAATTCCAAAATGCCATGGTTGATCAAAAATTCCCTATTGTCATCATGATCCAATGGCCATAAATTCCTCATTTTTGTGTACAAACGGATTCACGGATTCACAGCAGCTGATCTACGGACAGGACATTCGGCAACGTCGGGAAGAGCGACGGAAACGAAAGCAGAAGGTGCCGCCTTTAACGGTAGGGCCGGTAGCGTGGGATGGTTGGAGCAGCACTTGAGGTCTGCAAAACTGAGACGTGAAACTCGGAACAATTTCTGTGACTAGCACGAGTGTAATGAAGAAACTATTAGCATTATATTCAATATATATATATATATATATTTGTCATATGTTGGACACTACATTAGTTAGAATCAATGACTAATATGATTGACATTATATTCATCATGAATGTTCATCATAAATATTCATCATTATATATAAATCATATTAGCAAATTAATGATGACTAACAATCATATTAATATGATGGATTTATGGGTGATGCCGACCCACAAGATGGTGCATCAAAACACTGGCCACCGATCTCCCAATGATCCCAAAGTAGACAAAGAGATAGGGATTTCGTAAATCATCATCCAATTCTGAAAAAAAACAACAAACACCACTGTTAGCCACTATTAACCATATAGTTTTCTCCATGAAACATAGATTATCCATAGATTCGCCAGAATTTTTCCATAGATTATCCATGAAATTCCATAGATTATCCATGAAATTCCATAGATTATCCATGAAATTCCATAGATTATCCATGAAATTCCATAGATTATCCATGAAATTCCATAGATTATCCATGAAATTCCATAGATTATCCATGAAATTCCATAGATTATCCATGAAATTCCATAGATTATCCGTGAAATTCCATAGATTATCCATGAAATTCCATAGATTATCCATGAAATTCCATAGATTATCCATGAAATTCCATAGATTATCCATGAAATTCCATAGATTATCCATGAAATTCCATAGATTATCCATGAAATTCCATAGATTATCCATGAAATTCCATAGATTATCCATGATTATCCATGAAATTCCATAGATTATCCATGAAATTCCATAGATTATCCATGAAATTCCATAGATTATCCATGAAATTCCATAGATTATCCATGAAATTCCATAGATTATCCATGAAATTCCATAGATTATCCATGAAATTTCATGAAATCCCATAGTTTTCTGTTTTGGGATGACGAGGGATCCCTAATGACCGGATCGGATCAGGAACGCGAGATCGCCGAGTTCGAAGTTGGCAGACCGAGGGACAAACGGTTTGGGCATGGCCAGTGGAGACTGTGATGGTTAATAGTGGTTAATGGTGGTTAATGGTGGTTAATACTGGTTAATGGTGGTTACCCTCTGGTAAACTAACATAGCTATGGAAAGATCCACCATTTTTCATGGGAAAACTCACTATTTCTATGGTGATTTTCCATAGCTATGTTAGTTTACCAGAGGGTAATACTGGTGAATGTTATGAGAAGTTGTGGGCTACAGACTGGAGGCACTAAAATTACTAAAACCAATGACTTTCATAGTGGTGAATAATGGTACTGTTGATGATGTTAATACTGTTGATGATGTTAATACTGTTGATGATACCGGAACGCGGTAAACCCAAGGCCAGAAATAAACCCCAATGACTTACCAAAATGGGTCGTAAACATCATACCAAGTGGTAGGCTCCTCACCAGGGAAGGCCAGCTTGGCTGTGGGTGTTTGTTGCTTACATCCAGATTTTTGGTCATCCAGTTGCAAGTCATCCGCATCTTGGTAAAGCGATTGCTAACTGGAAAATCCCCACACGAATCGTGTTTGATGATTAGCAATATATATATATATGTTGATGAAAAATGTAGGTGTGGGAGCTAGCCATGTTTGATGACACCAGACCGTTCAATATCCTATCATATCCCCATCAAATATCCACTATTAACCAATTATTAACTATTAACCCATGATGATCCTCTTCATCCCCCAGCCGAAAACCAGCAAAAAGCCATGGATTTCTTACGGCACAATTTTCATCCCAGTTTGGTATCCCTAAAACTTGTCCGTTCCGGGTCCGAGGCGGATCCCATCTACAACATCACGGAGGGACCCGACCCTCGGATGAATTCCTGGGAAATCATGGGACTTTTGGGAATTCTTGGGAATTGAGTTATTTAGGGATTGGTTATTCTCAGACAAACTGATATAGATTTGGGGGTAGAGCCACTGATCTACTTTTTTTAGGGCCCGTAGTCATGGAAATGAGAAGCTGGCGACAAAATTTGCCATCCATCACCTCACAGTGAAAAGACCCGGTTTGGGACTTGACTGTTTGAAATGTAGCAACTCCCATAGATCCTAAAGAAGTGTTAGCACGTCTAGGGGTCTACAATCCATGTGGCTTCAACTCCGCCCATTGGATCCAATTGATAGCTGGCCATTTGGTTCTAACTCATCCATTCGATGTTTGGCCATTGCGACTCAGCAGAAGACGTTTCATCATTTCTGACACCTGGGGTCCGTCCAACAAAGGTGCATTTTGAGAGGTTTCAGAAGATCAAAGACCATGATGGGATTTGGAGCTCATACCATCTCGGGGTTGGACGGTTGGACCTCAATTTTTGCAGGTCATCCATCTTCCAGTTCCAATGATTGGCCCCCACCCAAGATACCCTACCCATGTGATGCCCAGCTCAGCATGTGATGCCCAGCTCAGGATGCGATTGCCTGGGGCCTCTGCTCGCCGTGGTGTCGACTGGGAAAGATTCGGAAATGGTCACTGAGCAGGTTAATAGGTTAATGGTAAATCATATTTCATCAATAGATACAGCAATCTTCTATCCCAGATCTAAACTCTCTTCAGAGCTATCGAAAGTAAAGCTAAAAAGAATTCAGCTTTCCAATCAGATTCCAATCCTAACCACCAGCCCCAATCATTCCAGCCCTGCTGAATTCGGCCCCCAGGACCCCAACATCTTTGGCGCCCCTTTCGTTTGGGCCGGGCAGCCCGGGCTAGGCTCATCCCACCGTAGGTTTTTCGAAGCTGAGGAACTTGGGGAAACAGGACAGATCCATAAAGATCATAAAGATCCCAGAAAATTCATCATCTTCATCTCATGCCCAAGATTCAAAAATTGACACATCAATAGCCCAAGGTAGCCCAAGTATTCCTTCGAAACTTCGCCGAAGCTCAGGTCCAAATCGGCCACATCCTGCTGGGCTCCGTTCTCCTGGCCTCGGCCCTCATCGGCGGCCAAGATGTGGAGTTTGCATTGTTCGACCTGCAGGCGGGATCTGAATTCCAAAGCGGGAGCTGAGTTATTTTTTTTGTTTTTCGTTTTTGTTTTTCGAAATTTGATGATTTAGTTTTTTGTTCTCCATTTTTTTGTTTTTCATTCCCACTTTATTGAGACTTTCGATGATTTGATGTTTCGATGGTCGGCCAACCTTCGACCATGGACGGTTTGGCGACCTGGCGCAGAATTTCACCAAGCCCAACAGGTCATCACGGGTGGATGATCCCAGTGTAGGAGTCCGGAAAAACTCATGAAACATGGCAATTGAACATCCACCACTCATAGATACATTATGAGTATCTAAAAAACATCATTGATTAAACATCATTAATCATTAAACATCATTTTAACATGGCAATTGATACATTAATCATTAAACATCATCAATCATTAAACATCATTGAAACCTCCATGTGCCTAGGATTTTCCAGCCACGTTTGACCGGATCTCTAGCTGGGCGGTGCAGGGTGAGACACTGAGCACCCTGCGCACTTCGGCCTGGGTGCCTAGCGGTCCGGCCCTGGTAAAATCACCAACTTGTCGGTTGATGTCAAGCAGAAAACACCAAACTTGAACAGCAACAGAATATCTGATTGGTTTTGACTCTCTTTCATATTATCATATATTATCAATATGTACCACCTTGCTGATCAGAAAACACCCTAAAGGACGTTTGCTTTTTTGCAGGTTGACCCAATGAAAAAACGATGAGTTGTACACCCGAAAAATCTTGCATTCATTCCCTTCCGACTTCCAAATTATGATCATTTGCATCCCATTGTACTATATTGTACTCATTGTCAAGCTGCAACGATGTGGTGACCGCGGCCGTTTAGCTGAAGGGTCAAGTGGACCAGACGCTTCCCTGGTCACTGGTGGTTGCATCACCAGGGCTGAGGGGGAGTTGCCTGAAATTTGAGGGGGAAACAAACAATTTGACTGCTTAGAACCTCCTTAAAATCTCCATTTGTAGGCGTACCCGATTTTCAGTCAAAGCCACACTTTCTCAAGAGCTTCAACCAGATCCTTTTTCTGTGACTTCAAAAGGTCGCAGTCGCAAGTTCATGATCACCAAGGATATCCCATTAGGGCAATCATTAGGGCCTCCCATTACACGCAACACGTGTTGCCGGACATGGCCGGTGATGTAGACGCGGCAAATTGCGATATCGGAAACCCTCAAGAGGCGACGTCTCAGTCTGAAGAGCCTTTTTCTCCGAAAGTGGAACAAGTGGAGCCTAGTGATCCTTGTCATCCTGAACCTCCCGCGGATGAACCGGAAATCATGCCCAAATCACCTCCCCCTAAAGGACAGGCCGTGATGAATAGCTGGCTCACCCCCCAAACTTTTGGATCAACATGTTACTGGTTTTCCGTTGGCAGTCTCAAGTTATAGCATGTTATAGCCACCCCAAAGAAGATAGATAGTTCCATTCGAACAGATGAACAATTCACTACAGTAATATTTTGTTTGATCGTTTTTTTTTTTTTTTAACCAACTTCTGCCTTGGAAAAAATGAGCGGTGTGCTATGGATTTCTCGTCAACAGATTTCATAGTTGATCACGAAAAAACTGTCTGCATCTTAGAGGTTGCTATGACTAGTTGGACCACGGCCTTTAGAAGGCTGTGGTGTTTTGTGGACATTGGGGGTGTGGGCTGGGGTGGGGTGGGGTGGAGTGGAGTGGGGTGGGTGGGGTGGGCATGTACTAACGTTCATGTGAACTTGCTGATGAAGGACATGCTACTCTGTGGCTGCCGGCATGTGCATGTATTCATGGGTGGGGTGGGGTGGGGTGGGGTGGGGCATGTATGAACGTTCATGTAAACTTGGTGATGAAGGACATGCTACTCTGTGGCTGCTATTGCAAGTTCTCTTGAACTTTGCATTCATACGTCATGCTACGCTACTGTAAGTTCTCTTTAACTTTCCATTCATGCGTCATGCCAGGCTACTGTAAGTTCTCTTGACCTTTGCATTCGTACGTCATGCTACGCTACTGTAAGTTCTCTTGAACTTTCCATTCATGCGTCATGCCAGGCTACTGTAAGTTCTCTTGAACTTTGCATTCATACGTCATGCCACGCTCATGCTGCGCTAGTGTAAGTTCGCTTGAACTTTGCATTCATACGTCATGCTACGCTACTGTAAGTTCTCTTGAACTTTGCATTCGTACGTCATGCTACGCTACTGTAAGTTCTCTTGAACTTTGCATTCATACATCATGCTACGCTACTGTAATTTCTCTTGAACTTTCCACTCATACGTCATGCTATGCTACTGTAAGTTCTCTTGAACTTTCCACTCATACGTCATGCTACGCGACTGTAATTTCTCTTGAACTTTCCACTCATATGTCATGCTACGCTACTGTAAGTTCTCTAGAACTTTGCATTCATACGTCATGCCACGCTACTGTAAGTTCTCTTGAGCTTTGCACCCTTCAGTGACGCAATGTGTGTTTATGCTGTCGTTGTAGGTTAGAAAATCCAGATCCTCAAAGGTTCTTGGAAGAACTAGAAGCGCTGCTCTGACCAAAAGACGACTAAAAACATGTCAGGGCGAATTAGTTTCAGCCCCAGCAAAAAAAACCCAAAAATGCTAGTTTCGTCTAGGCGAAATACATGTTTTTGAAAAACTGCACCAGAATAAGGGGTTTAACGGCCTTAAAAATCACATCAAACAAAAACCTATTGGCGCGAGCACATCAAAGATGATCCATGACACCCCGTTGATCACAAAAACCCCACGGCCTTCTAAAGGCCGTGCTCTTAGTTATATATAAATCGGTTCAAAGCCCCCATGAGCTACTTCAACATATCACAAACCCAGCAGTTCACCTGCTTGAAATTCGTGAAGCCCCAACGAGTTCGCGATTTCGCGAACCATTCCCGGCAAAAACCCATTTCCTGGCATTTTCCCGGCATTTTCCTGGGATTTGCGTTGTTTTTTTGCAGGATAAAAATATGGATTTCCGTAGCATTTTCCCGGCGGATTTCCCGATTTGGATTCCACCGCAGGAGAGTGGATGCAGACCACGGGTAGCCTCAAGAGCGCTGACTTCGACGCAACTTCCTTGTGCCTTCCGACGAAACGCGGCACGTTGCTGGCCGTGCTCTGCGCCAGCAGCTGGGCCATGGTTGATACATCTACAGCTGGGCCATGTTTCTTAGGGGTATCAACATCCATAGCAATTTCCATAGAAATTATCCATAACAAGTTTTCACTTAAGTGATAGGCAATGGAGATATATGGAGATGTAATATGTATGGATGTTGATGGATAGGTATGGACATTGATACATCCTGATACATCATGATACATCTATACATCATGATACATCTACAGGGAATAGATGTTAATATTAATATATTATATAATATAACATCATATAACATCTATTTTTAAGCGGGAACTTCCTGCGGGTTACCGGAGTTGTGTTTGTTTTTGCGGACTAGGCACTTTTTTCCATGGTGGGATCACAGGATTTCACACGGATTAAACATGATTTCATCCTGGGCGATTAAATTTGGAAAAGTCCTGGTTGGTGAAATTATTTCCTCTGGTTGGTTAAATAAGAACCACTGGTTGGTGGTTTGGAACATGGTTTTTATTTTCCATTTCATATATGGGATCATCATTCCCATTGACGAAGTCCATGATTTTTCAAGATGGTTATTGCACCACCAACCAGAATATGATGTAACTAAGCATACCAATTGGAGCTGTGGTTGCTCTTTTTAAATGTTTTCAAGAGGATTGCACGCGCAAAGCATCCCCATCTTTGTCGTGTTGATCATTTCCACATATTTCCACCCTTAATGTCAACCCAGGATTCAACAAAAACCACGCAGTCATCAGCGTTTACTTCCATCGGGGTCACTTCGAGCCGAGGCAGCTTTACTTTTCTGGGACTTCTGGCCTTTAGCTTTGCAGAACTGGGCTTCGCCAATCTTCCAAAGGAAGACTGGTCGACGCTCCTGTTGCGTTTGCTGGGCTGGGAGTTTATGTTTTACATTCCTGTCACTTAGCTTTGCTTCAGAGCTGATTCCGGCAGATTTTATTTGAATTGTGAAGTAAGTTGAACTCCAGATTTTGGGAAGCTCTTTGTCTGCCGAGTCGTTTTTTTTTGGGCGAAACTGGAGTTGATGTCAATGATGTATTGTTTCTAATTTATGGTTATTTCAAGGGGCCCGAATTAGCCGAGTTCAGGGAGCTTCCAGCTTAATCACTTGGCTTTCCAGGGAACATGTGCTGGACACTCCCCTGTTTTTGCTGATGTCAAACTGCCCTTTCAAAAACCCTTTCGAAAGGTCCTGGAAACCCAAGTTTTGAATGGGAAAACCAGGGAAAACCTGCCCTGCAGTCCGTCCGCGGAAGAAGGTGACCCAGGTGATGTGCCTGCTTGGAGGATCATCCCACTTAGTGCTTAATGGCCCTGGTTAGTAAGTCCCCTGGGGTTATCCCCCAGGTGATGTGCCTGGTCCAACCCATCCTTCGCAACTTTGTCGTCCTTAATCTCCAGCCTCAACAGCCTTTGGCTGATGCCTGGCCCGATGCTGCAGATGTCAGTGGAGTGCGGCGCCTGGTGCGAGCCTTTTGGATTCCCGGTTGCTGAGTCGCCGATTTCTTGAGATCTGCCCATTTTTTTTTGGAATCAGAAGTGATAAAATTTATGTCATGATGTTATGATGTATGTGTAGAAAGGGATTGTCATGTTCCTCTTGTTTCTATTTCTAGTGGGAATTTTGAGAAGATTTTTGAAGGGAATCATCGGTAAACTTTTCCTCTCTCTCTCTCTCTGTCTGTACTGGGGTGTATTTTTTCTGAACTTCAGCATGCACCCAAGGTTGTATACATACATCAACGACGCTGGGCCTCTCCCTACTGACCTTCCTGCCGTTTCTGGGGTTGAAGTTGGGTGACGTTTTTTTTGGGGGGGAAAGGTGGAAACTGAGAAATTCTCAAAAGAAACCGGGGAATCTTTTTCTTGAAGGTGTTTTGGGCAATATCTTTTTGAAGTCCAGACAATGCGAGGTTTCAGGAGAATCATTTGGGATTTATACCATTTTTGCTTGCGGGTGCTGCCATCTCCTTGCCCTTGTGTCTGTTGATGGTGAAGTGTTGTGGTCCCACGCTGTCGAGCCCAAGCAGAAGCTATGGATTTCGGATGCTACCGATGTGTGTGACTTGTCTCCTTGTTGGACCTTGTTGGGAATCTCCCTGTGGCCATGGCCCCCATAAGACATCCAGGATATTGATCGGTCTTGACTTAGTGTGGGATGATGTGTTGTCTACGCATGTGGGACGGAATTTTCAAGCAGTCATCTCCTGTGTTTACACTGTTTAACAACAACTGTTTGTTCCCGACCTGCCAGGTCAGGGTCTCTAGATTTTATCAGAGTTACTTCCTCCTTCCTCCTCCTTCCTCCTCCTTCCTCCTTCCTCCTTCCTCCCGACAGCGAACTCTAGATCTTAGTGGGCACTGCCGGACCTCAACCGCGAACTCCAGATCTCAATGGGCACTGACGGACCTCAACCGCGAGCTCCAGATTCTCAGTGGGCACTGCCGGACCTTAATCGCGAGCTCCAGATCTCAATGGGCACTGCCGGACCTTAATCGTGAGCTCCAGATCTCAGTGGGCACTGCCGGGCCTCAACCGCAAGCTCCAGATCTCAGTGGGCACTGCCGGACCTCAATCGCGAGCTCCAGATCTCAGTGGGCACTGCCGGGCCTCAACTGCAAGCTCCAGATTCTCAGCGAGCACTGCCGGACCTTAATCGTGAGCTCCAGATCTCAGTGGGCACTGCCGGACCTCAACCGCAAGCTCCAGATCTCAGGCACTGCCGGGCTTTAATCGTGAACTCCAGATCTCAGTGGGCACTGCCGGACCTTAATCGTGAGCTCCAGATCTCAGTGGGCACTGCCGGACCTTAATCGCGAGGTCCAGATCTCAGTGGGCGCTGCTGGACCTCAACTGCAAGCTCCAGATTCTCAGTGGGCACTGCCAGACTTCAACCGCAACCGCGGGATCTCTATAGGCAGTGCGCTCGCGGTTGAGGTATGGCAGTGCTCATGTCAGAGAGAATTTTAGAGTCAGAATAGATTCCAGATAGAATGCCAGAAAGAGTGCCAGATAGAATGTCAGATAGAACGTCAAAGTATATGTCAGAAGACTGTCAGATAGAATGTCAGAATATCGATGCCATAACTACTTCCAGATGGTATGTCAGAAACGATGTCAATGACTCGAAGTAAAGTGATTTTTTGCCCTTAATCTGGACAGTTCTAAATTTGACATCATTTTGCTAAAAGTGGGTAACAACCCCCCACACAGGGGTACTGCAGTCACGGAAGCTAGCTTCTACTAGTTGAAACTCCCGTGCTTTAGCAACTCGAGTTTGTGAAGGGGCTGAACCATCAATCCAGCCCCAGCCTCCTCCAGCCGGTAACAGGGGGGTACTTCAGACATGATATTGCAACCAAAATTGGCACTGAAAACACAACTTTGTTCTTGCATCACTCAATACTTTTGAATTGTTTTTATGGTGATTTGCTATGAAATCAGTGCCCAGATCGTAACCAACACTATTGTCAGTTCTAGAGAGTGTGTCATGTGCATGAGCACCGGAACGTGTAATGTGGTGATGCCTCCGTGGTTAGGAAATAAGTAGCTGACACAGAACTCCACCGTTCCTTTCTTGCTGGTGCTATTCAACCAGTTTTTTTCCTTTGGCCTCAAGTCAGTTTACCCCACTTACAGCTGGTCACAAACTCATTGGGTTTGCCGGAAGATTGAACAACATGTAGACTTTGACATGAATGATAAAACTAAAAACACATACAACACATGACCATTTGCCAAAAATAGTTGACACAAATTTTGTACGTACCAGTTGTTGATGATAGTTAGTGTGGACCTAGTGGTTTTTCGTCTTCGTTATGAGGCTGCACGCAACTAAATTCATCAATTCAGCAAGGTTACGCTAGCAAACCCGCTAGGTGCGGTGTGGCTAGTTCTTTTTACACACCGATGTTCAAGGATATGTTTTATGTGTTCCTGCCTGTTTGTTATTTCAACATGAAAAAAACAAAATGTAACTTAGTTCCTTAAACCTGAGGATGTCTTAGTGAATTTCTGTGCTACTCGACAATTTTCCTATATTTTTGAGGTTGCGGCGCGATGTTGCGAATTTGTACGTAATTTTACCCACGCGATCCCCGCTAGCGATGCGCTAGCAAAAAATTCAAAAAACGGCTTCGGCTGACCCGTGCGTGACCCAGTCGCCACCAGAGAACTTGTAGTTTATCCTGTTTTTTGACAGAAACAACAGTGATGGCAAAGGCAACGACAAGCTCTGCAGCAGATGAACACATATTCCACTTCCAACACTAGTAACTAGCAGCGGCACCCACTTCATATAGACGTGCGTTAGCACTTACTGCAGGGTTTAGTTACCTCTTCAAACATGAAAAAATAAAATGCAGGGTTTCAGACTATTTAGATAAGTCATAGTTTTAAAGACAAAACAAGAAGCGGCACGCAAGGAATTATGATTTATCAACCAAACCAGAAGAAGACATTTTGACAAACCTTCGCGCGCATACGCACACTTTCCACCTGCAAAAAAGGATGTTTTATGATGGGCTCAGCAACATGCTGCAAAGGCCTCCGCTCGTCCTCAGGGGGAGCATGAATTTGTGTCATATCCCCATTGATGTTTGCAAAAGCCGACGTTTTGCATTGGTTCCGAATTTTGGTTAAACCCACCTTTTTCTTGACATTTGATTGGTCAAGTCCCTGTGTTACCCCGCTAGAACTCTAACAGACTGTCTTTCCGGTGTTGTGACAACAAGCCGAGCGAGCGCCGAGGGTTTTTTGCCATTTTTGGGCTCTGCGATTGTAATGTTCGTCTACATACCACTCAGAGAGCTTGGAGGTGTCTGGCACCTCGGTGCCCGTCGATTTTTTTTTGGATTTCTATTGGGTGATAACTGGCTGGTTTAGTTTAGTGGGGATCATTATCATCTAACATGGGAATTGCTATCAACCAACCAATTTTTTTCAGTGGTTCGTAAATTTGTGCCACTTTGAGGATACGTAGAATCGCCCATGCAGGTTGTTGGATATGATATCTTCATGCAAGTTGAGTGATGTTGTTCTGCGGTACATGTCATGATGCTTTGTCAAACGTTTGTCTCGTTATACAACTACTTGGGGATGCCATGGGGGTCATTATATAATAATAGGTATATAACAATGGTGATAATTAACTTCTAGAAGGATTTGGCCCGTAGAAACTCTGGTATATGTATCCCCAAATTCTAAGATACCAGAAAACTCTTACATGTTCTCACGGATTCAGCGACCCAATCAATTGATCGGCTCAAAGAATGTCTTTTCTCCATGATTTTGAGTTCCTTCTCGGTACCCGTTGGTCACCAGTACTTTCTGCCAATGTTTGCCAAAATGGCAGAAATATGTCGGGTATAACGGTAGAACCTGCTCCGATGGACTGGGGGTTCCACTTATTAAGTTGCATGGGATTGTATGGCCACAGTCACTCGGGGTTATATCAGTTATAAGTTATAACGTCCAAACGTATGGCGGCATTTTTTCACCTTCTGCCGATGTTCAAGCTGCAAAGGATCGGTCTACTAATGCCTCTCTTCCTAAGTTCTTATGAGTGGCTTGGCAAAAAACCAGGAGCTTCCCGCACAACAACGGGTTGCCAGGGTCAGGAAAGCAAACCATCCGACGGTATCATGAGACATTTGATCGCTGACGAATTCACCACACCGATTTGTAATGGGCTGAGGGGTTGTGTGCTCAAGCCTTGTGGTTGAACCATCTTTTTGCTAGAAACCAACAAGGACCCAACAGCTGGACATCAGCCATGAGCCAAGAAACATCAACCTACATTTTTGGAGCAGTTTTCTACTGAGCTTCCAGTTTTTTTCTCCATCAACCAGTCGTCGCATTTTCCTGAGATTTTCCTCAGGTTGCTGGGAAGCTTCCTGGTAACGCGCCGATTTACGAGAAGTTCATGATGGAGAGGGAGGTGCGCGAGGCCTATAGCAATACCAATCAAGGCATTGCAGTGCCTTGGCGGCGGATGTACCGAGTGGGACATGCCCGAGCGAAATGGCTATTTCGATGGATTTCATGGGAATATCATGGGTGTTTAGGACCCATTGAACATCATGGTCATATTCCACGGGAATATCACCAGTCATGGTTTATATATCAATGTTTGATGGGACAATCATCTAAAATCCGGCATTGTCCATGACTGGTGAGTGTTTATAGGGTTATGTCTGAAACCAAATTTGAGGGATGAAGCGGCAATGGTGAACAGGGTAGATTGGTGGACATGGAAAACAAAGATATATTTCCCCAACTGCCAGGTGAGGGTCTCTAGATTTCAACAAAGGTGCAACTCCTCCTTCTCCTCTTCCTCTCCCTCTCTTCTTCTCCGCGTCCTCCTCCTTCTGCAAGCGCGTCGTGACTGTGGGCACCAACGGACCCGGAGGTCACAGCAAGTGCCAGAAGCTCATCGCAAACTCTAGTTCAGTCTGGGCACGCATGGACCCGAACCCTATCTCGAGCTCTGGAT